AACTTTGTACTCGACTCAGCCATTCCTAGGTAGCAATGACGTTCTCGTGTGGGTGTTGAGGAATTAAAAGCTACTCCTCGATCCTTCGGCTTTGGCGAAAGAGAGATACCAGCACAAACAGCAGGTTCAAAGTAATGGAAACAATGGTGAATTTGAGAAGCCCGAAGAACTGCAAAAATTTTACATTTTCTTGTTTTGTGGCTTTAATAAGATTTGTGCCCTAATAGTTCAAAGCAAAATATTGAAATCAAAACAATTTAATTCCTTTTCCAGATGATTTTACAAATGTAAAACACGATAAGTGCCTTCATAGTGGCTAGTTAATCGTTAGCACATAATGCAATTTAAAGTGAGCTACTTACGCAAAGCAGTCTTCTTCTCCCTCAAGAATTCGAGAGGTGCGATCGCTGTGATGGGAAAAAAATTTAGATGACATGAGCTAGCGATAATAATAAGCATTGTGAGAAAACTAAGTCTTGAAGCTTCCCTCATACTCGCACCGTACTGTCCTACAGTGTTTGTGATATTCAGCAAAATCGATTGACAAAACAAAAACAATTTTCCGTAAATGTGCTAAAGCTTGGTTTGTAATAAACTGATTTCCCTTTCAAATCGCTGTGGTGCTTATCCCTTGGTATCGCATTTACTTTAAAGTGGTGTACGTGAGATACTTGGCAAAACACATGATGTAAAGGATAGAGCGACACCACTGTTTTTTGAAAGGTCACTCCATTAGAGTGACTAAAAGATGTAACCAAAGATGGAGGTAAACAGCTCTTCTAGTGACCTGCAAGATTTTGTAAGTAAATCAAATGCTTGGACAAAGTGATCCAAAGGAGAGGACAAGCTGTCACCGGGGTCCTACAGTTGACCTAAAAATGAGGATACGCGATAGATGTGAAGGAGGAAATGGCAGTCAACCGAGGAGAAGGGGAACACCAGTGATACAGTGAAGTATGACAGACTCGAGTTCAGTTTGACCTTGATCCTGCACAGACAGTCCATGCACTGCACTATGTATATGTGTGTGTAATTATGCCTCAAGTTGTTTTGTTTTTTTCGGTTTAAATATCCCAGTTCATTCAGAGCACTCTGTACAGAGGTAAAATAATTCGCAAAATTGCTCCAAGCAAATTTCGATATTAGTTTGCTTTTCCCAAAAAAATGGAGAGCGAAATAAGATAAAATACTGCGGGGAGACGGTCATATGTAATAAAAGAGGGCGACTGATAGGAGACTTTTTGAGGCATTTCGCAAACAACGTGAGTGGCGTATGAGTTTGCAAAACTGCTTAAGAGCAAGTATGCCAGTTGAATTGCATGCTACTTAAACAACAAAAGGTAGCATACCTGACAAAATTGTCCGGCGGGGGGCAACCATTAAGGCGATAGAGGCGTTCGTCGAAGGCTGCGCGACGCACACACTCAGGCAGGCCAAGGGTGCCGGGGATGTTTCGAGATGTAAGGAGGATTGGTGGGGCAGGCTCGTCGCGAATTCCCCTAGCTGTAAGCCTACGACGCAGTTCATCAGACGACTCTGGCATCGTGCGTTCTGCTGCCTCAGAAGTCATTGGGCTGTTGTTGGAGGAATACCAACGTGACCCTGGTGGTGACACTGGATTGACCAATAGGGAAAATAAGCTCGTGGTATTATGCGTACGTGGTCTCGGGGGTGCTAGAAAGGAACAGCAATTTGGTTTAGGGAACTGGATCCACCCAACAGCAAACCTACGGAAAGTAATATGAATGCACTTCAACAAAAACCCTAATTTGTTACTCTCCAACTGCATAAAAACTGCTCAATCCTTCAATAAAAGACTGGTTTAGTTTAGCAACTCCAGGCGTGTATCAGACGAAGTCGAATGTTTCGTTAAGTTCCAAATTTAGCACGATGAAGGGTAGAGATGGTGGGCAAAAGCAGGAAATTTCCGAATGCCGAGCAGAGAAACGCTGACATGCGTTCTATCAACACATATCTAGAAGTACACTTGTAGCAGCATTTTTTCCTCCATAAAACCCAGAACCATTGATAAGGAGGTTTCATGGGAAATAAAAAGGGAAATTAGTGTTTTGAAGAGTGCAATTCTGATGTGAGCTTTTAAGTCTATTTTAAAAAAGACATAAACCGCTATCGTCATGACGAGGAACGGAAAACAAGCAATCACATTTCATACAATACTCCGAAGTTAATAACCAGTGTGAAAAGAGTGGTTATTTAATTGATAAGTGAAATGGAATTGAATTCTGTTAACAGCAGCATCTTGAGGAGTTCGGAATGTAATGGGGTGGTGACATAGGGAAAATCCCCAGATGGGTCAAAACAAGTTCATTCCGAGGTTAATGTGTGAATTGTGTCACTGAATCAAGCAGAAAAGTTAATATCTTTCACCGCGTTAAACAGTAAAAGTTGTGCATTAAAAATGCTTCGGATAAGTGCGCTAGATTAGAGGTTCAATATGGTATATAGTGGCAATAAACCTGGCCGTGACATTGGTCATTTCAGTGTAAATTTCACTTTAACATTTGGTTTTCCTTTCAGAATAGATCAGACATTTTTAGAATGGTACAAAGAAGAAACATCGTTTGCCATAGCACAAAGGGAAGGTCCCCAAAAACATGAACTTGTGGATAGCAATAATGGTTGGAGCACACCGAATCCCATTCATATTTAAAAGACGATTCGCAACTGGTCTGCAAGCAACGCTACAATGCTACTGCCACCAGGCTGCGAAAGAGAGGATGGCACTACAACTGCCACTTACAATAATTGTGAGCAGTAAGCAATAGGCAAGAAGATCAAAGACTTTGATCACTGGTGATGTTGGATATGTAGCCAAGAGTTCATACCAGCATATCGACGGAATTGTACGGAGCATTAAGGGTAGCAAGGATAATTGAACAAGTTTATTAAGTGAGCCCACGGCGAGAACCTTTGAGTAGTAATCGTGAACTCAATGTCAGGGTAACAAACAAGAATGCATGCTAAGCAAGGAGACTCCGTGGCTGATGATAGTAAGCACAAAACCCATGCGGCAAATGAAAAATGGAACCGAGTTTCGAGTGAAACCATTTAATTTTCTCAGAAAGCTAATTCGTGCATGTTTCGATAGCGAAACCAGAACTATGGGTAGTATGGAAATGCAACCTCACAAAACAAAGTAGAAACCAAACTTTTAGCCAAAAATGTCTTTTGTTAAGCTGAGTATGCAAAAGTCCACATTAGCGGCGCAAAAAACCCCAAACAAATCAAATGGCTTACGTAAATTAAGTGTATTGGGAGGCTCTGATAGGGACATCACATAAAGGCATGCCCTAAAAACAGCCCCATTCTCGATTTACGGATGGCAGAAATTTAAGCCGTGGAGAAGAGGAAGATGGAGTACTACATTCCTGTCACATAGTCTTAGACGAAATCTATGAAAATCCTGATAAAATTAGATAAAATACAACTCAAAACCTAAAATGAGGTCCACCGAAGTCACTTAAAAATTTTACACTTAGAGCTAAGGCAAAATGGCGATAGATAGCATGCAGTCTACGATGAACCAAAAGTATTAACTGGAAGAACCATACTTTAGAGATTCCAGAGCAGAAACCATAGGCATTCCAACACAGTGGCACAAGGTCGAGGCCTCTGCCAGATTAGTAAATGACGGATCACCACATTTCATTGTTACATCAGCACAAGGCGCACCCGTGACATAAATAGACTGTTAGTTTACGACGTAAAATGAACGCTAAGGACAAATATCTTAACGAACACCATGGAAGTGGCATTCGAAAGAAAAGAATTTTGATAAAACGTTCTACTTTGCATCAAACGCTTACGGAAAAGGAAGGAGAACGGCGTACTCATTTTCTTCAAATGCTGGAACAGGTGACACGAAAAAATTGAAAAAAAATAACGAGTGGGAACATCACACATGGAATTAATAGTTGGTGAAAAGTTACGTTTCAAAATAAAACTAGAGGGAGTGAAAAGGAACAGAGGAAATAAGACATACTCGGATTTTCGGCAGATATTCTTGAGCCTGAAGTAGTCACTTTGGCGGTCTTCGACGGAGGATGGAAGTGCGTAGTGCAGTAGAATTTAGCTAGGCGGTAGAGAAATTGAGATCGAGAGCAGAGTATGACTTGATAAAGTGACTGATGGTGTGAAGCAGGTAGTTGCGCTCACGTCCGCACCGACACGCACACAACGCACGCAACACGCGCCATTCAGAAACGCATGTTGCGTCATCTTTGCGTACGCATGTACAAGGCGCGGCTGCGCACGCCCACGCACGCACAACCTAGCCTCGTGAAGCGGATCATTCGACGGCGTGAATATTTCATTTCAAGTTTAGGATGAGAAGTTAAGCACCATATGGCATGAAAGCATATTAACTTATTAGTTTAACATGCTACATCAGAACTGGGGCTAGATACAGAGGTTTTGTTGCAGTCGAAAAGAAGGAATAGCTGTGTTGAAATGGATCTAGTTAACCAATAGGTAGCAAAATGAGTGACATAAAGAGCCACGGTCGTAAAAAATTAACTTCGATGTCAAACGAAAAAGTGGAGAGTGAATGGAGCAAATTACGTACCTAAAGCCGTTAGGCCGTCCACGCTTTATAGGACACAACCTGTGGCATTAAGGGAGTTTGTGTAATTTCAAAAAAGGCTAAAAATATGGGCGAGGCTGAAAGTAAGGGATTAGTCACATCCACTGAAATATGACAAGCTAATTTTGGTTCGCAAATGCAGTGATTGAGGTGCCGGACATATATGCGACTCTAGCCCATTTGGTGTTTAATCACGGTAGGAGACAGAGGTCTGAAGTAGTTAAGCGAGGATGAATCGCGTACATTAACCAACCTAAAGTTGGTCAAATGACGTTGAAAAACAAATTTAAGCTTTTAATGAGATTCTGCGAGACAAATCGAATGGATTCCGATGCTGAACTACCCATCCAGCTAGCCAATGAGCATGACAAATAGCCAGTTACTTGTAGCTCACTGAACAAAACGGCGTGAAAGTAAAGTTGTTCCACAAAATTGAAAAAAAGACAAATAAAAATCGAACTCGTTTTAGTCCCATGAGAGCAAAGAAGATTTGGAATCGCAGTTGCACTTACGGTCAGTCTGGTGACGCAGGTAGTGGGCAATGTCTGGGCGAAGAGAGCGGTGGCATTCCACGCAACGGAAGCAATTCGGATGCAGGCGAAAACCATCGTAGGCTCTAATTTCAGCCGCGTAGAGGGGTTTTTTGCAGACAGCACAGAAATCTGGAGATTTCTAAGTCACCAAATTCGCATTCCATTAGCATACATGTACGAGAACATCAAAAAAACCGATTGTTCCTACTCAGTGTATCCGATGTACGAGGGTAAGTTTGTGATTCAATCGCAAAACGCAGTTGGACGCCTGAGACTAGCATTTAAACCACACTGTTCTCACCCTGCAGAAATCTAAGGACAAGATGCTCAAAAGTTTTTGTACGACAAAAGTAGACGCCACCATGACCACATAACATTACGCATCACATCAAGAAGTGCTTATTTTTTATGATACAATAAACACATTGTTGAAATGAAATGATGTCTAGAAATACAAATAAATGCATGCGCAAGGGTTGTTTATTGCGATCGGGGAAAAAGAAAAATTATACATTTACGATGAATGGAGCCAACGAGGGTTAAGTATGCCTCCAAAAAGAACAACGCCCAAACTGTTTGACTTTTCCATCAGGTGAAATTGTGGAAGAGTCAGAGGCATTAAACAAACCCAATTTTTGTTCTCATAACTATCCAAGTTGGTCGGCTTTTAGCTACTTTTGTAGCCAATTGCTATAGCTATTTTTTTCAATAATTCAAACGCCTAGGTAATGAGAATGCCAAATAAATGGAGTATTGTTATCGGCATGACGAGATGGTTTAGACGGTGGTTCGGAGATACACTCGCTGATAACACCATTCCACTTACACTTCCGGCGACCTGATGGAATCATATTCGGTTGCCGCATGATCAGAAGCGTTCCCGCTGGAGCATAAATTTCGCAGAAGCAATTCAAACATAAGGCCACGAAACATGAATTTGAACGAATTCAAGTGAAATGCGTTGACACTTATCTCAAAGAGGACAAAGGAAGTCCTACTTCAGGCCAGGCCGTGGAGCCATTGGATAGACGCAAGTGTCTAGCGTTCGCCATGCGAAGTTGTCGCTTGGTTTATGGTACGCAATTACGTCACAAAAAAGTGAAATTCCGGTACAACGACGCAATACACACGACCTTTAACTGATGCAAGTGAACAACAGAAAGCAGACGAGTTCGATTCTGGTCAACTTTCAATGTCAACTGGAAGAGTAACAGTGGCTAGGGGACACTCACCTCTTTGAAGATGGCAGAACTGTTGTTTGATTTATAGTCTCGCGGTGGGAGAAGACATCGAGGAGGACTCGGAGGAGGCTCCAGACCAGCTTCCTCAAAGGCCTTTTCCCAGTCAATCATAAGACTGCGCCGCTTCGCCGATGCAGGATCGTTCTAAAACCAACTTAACTGCCTAACCCCTCTTCGAACGTTAGCAACAAAAGCACCATTTATGGATTCTAAGATTTTAATTTCTCGCAACTGAATTAACTTTATGGTTAGGGCAACACACGTAAGGAACCTCTTTACCAAAAAGAGGCATTTACATGAAAAGGAACGTCGTGTACAACATTCTTTCCTTCAATTTTTTTATTCAAGTAAATCGAGATGCTGTAGCTGTTTTTCCCTGATGTCCCAGTACTGGTTGAGGAATTGGCAAAGACTTTACTAAATACGCATTTTTTTAATGACGTGAAGTGATTAAAGTGGACAGGGTTTGTGTAAGTGTGGTGCATGTAGACTACAGAACACTAGTATTAAACGTCTCCTACCTAAAAACTGCGTGATATGGTAAAGCAGCGACCTCTCCGCAAAAAATTAATGCTTGAATTAGGCGATGGAAATACTTCCTTAAAGAACGTAGACAAATGTGACATCATCAGTAATGTGACGAAGAATAGCAAATCAAACGAATAAACACTGAAAATTGAAAAATAATTTGATGAACCCAAATGTTCTTTGTGCGAAGATAGAGTCATCTCTGCAACAACAACTGCACAAAAGTTGTTCCAATGGTACATTCTTTAGGTCAAGTGTAAGTTTCAAAGCTGCATAATTATCCTCATTGAATCATTTTCCGATGGATGAAGTGTGGCCTTTGTGGCCAACAAGTCTATTGCAAAGACTCTTCAAACACTACAATGATGCCCTTTAAAAAATGACACCAGAACTCTTGCTTGAATTAGAAAGAACATTGAAAATGCTTAATTTCAAATCAGCATAAGAGTACGAACAAACAACTTTGAATATGTTGGTAACAGTGAGAATGTTGACAGTACCACCTTACCAGATCACACCATTGTCGCTACCTACGGGATTCAGGCAAGCAGAGACACAGGTGGTCACGTCAACAAATACACAACTATGCCAAAAAGAGGCATGTACTTTCGCGAGCAAAATAAACTCTCTTTGTCTGGATTGATAAAAGTCTGCATCCAAGCAGAAGAGTAAACTAGGACCGAATGTAACAAAATTGAATAGACAAAAAACAGGAAAGAGAATAAAAATGCTATTCAAAGGTGGTAAGTTGAACCAAAGAGGGTTGGTCAGAGGCCTCACCAGCATCGCGATAAGATCGGATCTGCGCCTAGCCATGAGACCCTTCTTCACAGCACAAGAAACATCCTCCATCGCATGTGCAGTAGATGGCGATTGAGTGCGTGCCACTGGATTCTCGAACCTGCGTTGTATCATTGGGACATTCACTTGACGGCGCTCAAGTTGGGACGAAAGCAGAGGACGAGTTCTGGAGGAAACCCTTGGGGAGGACAGAGGATCGACGTATCGATTGAGGGAACAAATCGATTCACTGCGGCGAGCAATCATAAAGGTATGCTGCTGCACTCTGTTTTCAGTCACAAGTTGCCTCCGAACTAAGGGAAAACAAAATCAGGACTGTATTTAGAACGTCCTAGAAAACGAAATAATTCCAACATCGGTAAAAGTTCTAATTTAACTGTGTTTTTAAATAAACACCTTCCAACATCGAGCGAAACTCTATCACTCCTTGTGTAAGTCAGATTCAAATCAAGATTTTGTACGCACGGAGAGTTTCGCTTTCAGCCGTCTACGTCGCAGGGTACAACAGGCAGTGTCTTTGATTTTTTTACCAGATTTGAGATTTTAACGAGCGTATGCGTCCGATCTGGTTAGCAATGGTGCAGCAGATAACCATAGAGCACACATTAGTCGAGTGTGACGATGGCCAGTTCACGTAATTGGTGGAGTTTATCAAGCGTTAAGGCGAGGAGTTCCATCAAGTTAGAGTATAACGTATCGAAGACAAGACTGAAGCTGGTTCAACGCACTATACCTTCGAATTACTGCACAATTTTGAAAATTGCATAATAATCCGGATTTGTTTAGGTTGCTATCACATGCATTCCTGATGTTCAAGAAAATGTATAGCGACGTTAAAAAATAAACATTAAGCCCCGTGATCACTAAAGAAAGATTCAGATTGCTCAATGGCACGATAGCCTTATCAAAACAGCCAAGAATCGTACTGATGAATGAACAAGCGAGCCTGGTTCGAGGAAAGCTACAAGCCTCCGGATTGTAGCACGAAACACAAAATACTGAAACGATTCAATTAAATAGAAATGGGTAGTATTCAAAGAATGCAGAAAATGTTCAAATCCAATTGAAAGGTCGAAGTAATTTGTTGTAATTAGAACTGTTAATGATTGGCTATAAACCAGAAATGGCATGGCTTTCACAAGCCCTTGAAATCGTAAATCGTTACAGCTTCCCCCCTTACCAAAAGAGTAAAAAAACAATTAACATCAATGCCCCAAGGGAGACTAACCCGTCATATCAGCCAAAAATATAGGGTCGCGACCTTTCAGGCAATCATGAAGCGCGTCCAGGTAGTGCGGCCATCCCGTATCAATCATAGTGCTAGGAGCGCCAAAATGCTCGGCAAGGAGATGCATTACGTCCCCTATCTCCATAATTAATGTCATATTCAGAGCTTCCTCAGGCACCAGGTCGGAACGGTACTTATGCAGTAAGCACCGCAGAGCCCGACCGTCGGCCCACGTATCGACAGACAAATCTACGATCGGTGGGCAAAGAACGCCAGAATAGGGCGAGAGGCGTTGTTGATACCACTTGAGAAGACTGATATATGGACTGAAGGTCGGCTTGGAAGAGTAGTCATTAACCTTTGTGGTAGCGATGGTGGGAGCGGATGTCATATTCTGACTGTCGGATTTCAAAGAGTCTCGAAGAAATGCGAAAGACTTGCGTTCTGTCATGCTGGAGGTTATATCTGAGTCATAGAGATGACGCACTTGCATTGGACGGACCAACTCCAGGTCGATGCGAGTGTATCTACCGGCCCAGAGTGGGAAATTAATAAATAACGATAGTAATGTACTTTTTACAGTATGCAAGTTGTAAGTGAATACGCCAGGATCTCAACAGAACCTGGCGGCATACAAGACTAAACCGATCAGAGTTCGAGACTTTAATTGGCAAATAATGAATGTAATTCAAGGGAAATGTTGAAGAAGAGCAGTCAATGACCTTACAGAGCACTTGCAGCAGCCGCAAAAAGGCTGTTAGTGCATAAAATGAATCACCTACTAGGGACTACAGTGATTTAATCAGAGCATTAAGGACTAAATCTACTGTCTGGCTTGAAAGACAAGATAAAAGCCTTTTTGACATTTCGAAAAATGGCGCAATTACTTAAGAAAGAACAGATAATCACCGTGAGACATTGAAAAGGAGCAGAAAACTCCTTAAGATAGGAGGCCAGACAGAAACCAAAATCACTGTCTTCATTGACGAGGAAAGGTGTAAGTAAGCTTACCGGGTGGTAGGAAGGAAGGAATAAGAAGCGAAGTTCGGTGGCATATTGGATGGACTGGTCTGGCTTAGTCGTTGGTAGACAGAGTCGCGCCAAGCAATGACGCGCAGTGGATGATGTCCAGCCGCGAACAGACTCACTGCCCAAGCGGCGTCGAGAGCCGAAAGGAAGCCCAGAGCGCAGCCACTTCCACGTGGCCAAAAAGGCTGAAAGCAAACGATGATAGGAGAGACTGTGAACCTCTCAGACTAAGGATTAGATTGCTTGAGAGCACTTTCGATGATAGAATTTTACCAACTCGTAATTTCCCCTACCGAGGACCTGACCTGTCGTAAATTAATTTTAGTGGCACTGCAACGGAGACCCTAGGAGGACGAATTTTTCCAACCACTTGCAGCTAGCACGGTGCAATTAAAAGTGCATTAAAATGAAGGTTTCGCCCCCACTCTCGGTCTGAACCAAATTTCGGGATAGATTGAACTGACCTACGGTTACTTTGTAAAGTTGAACACCTGACCAAATCGGGTGATGTACAGAGACGTGAAAAGTAGTGCATGAGGTACGGCTAAGATGCCGATTTCGGTCCTATCTTTGGTGCACTATTTTCTGTAAATAGTGCCAGTGACACTCAAAGCTATACCAGTTAGAAGTGAGAATGATTGCCTAATCGGACGTGAAATTCAACGCTGAGGGAATAATGGTCTTGGGTAAGGGTTAAGTTTAAAGCTTGAAATAAAAAAAGGGCTCTCACAAATAAAAAAAATCGAACGATAAAACGTTGGCTACCCTAATCGCAATGAAGACATTAAAGTAAAATATCTGCATTTCTAGACAGTTTGCAGTCACCAGGACAATATTTCTTCAATGTAAATGCTAGTCGATCGTGTCGCCTCATTCGCAAGCCTTACCCAACATGAATTCCAATTTGCAGATAAAAACCGGGTCAAGAAGAACGGAAACAAATAGGTATGGCTTGACTCCTATTATGCAAGTAATTTGTGGAATAACCACAAAAACCCCAGCTGCGGCAGGCTCTCGGACACAGATAGAATTGAGAGCGCCTTATGCGCTTCGATGGAATTGGCATGGCAATGCGAAGTAAGGCAACGAAGCTTGACCATGCACCACCCAAGTTAACAAAACTACCAACCCTTGTATTCCTTCTCACGCAATGCCGATACGTATCCACATCATCTCTATATAAAGTGAATTTATGCTGTCAATTCGAGCTGTCAATCAAGTAGGCAGCCCCACACAGTGCACCCATACTCACTAGTGACGCTGATTAGTTAGCTAACTCGTCTATTGATAAAGTTTGGATTTCCTTCTATAAAAAATTAAATACAATTTCTCAACTTTCAATAAGACAGCTTGTAATTTGGTCCTCTTCGTACACCCATCTTTAAAATAATAAGCTCATATGTCAATGATCTACCGCAAATGCGCTGCGCGTACATCACCTTTGCACAAGCATAGCATATTCAGAAGACACACCGAAGGCAGTGTGACAGAGACAACTATATAGGTAATATATGCACTATCTCAGGGGTTGTAAGTTACGTAAATTATGAATGACAGGTCGGTGTCTACATACGAAGGAGGGTCTGCCATAAAGAAGAAGAGCACTTAAGGGGATTACACATCCGATTAGTTGCTTTGGAATAAGCGTGTATGCGTAAGGTTGGTAAATTGCATCCGAGTCTTCCACATTATAAATCTAATTTCCAACTCCCGAAGGAATCTGATCTAAAACGTCCTTTTCAAGCATAAGGGACCACAATCTCTAAATTAGTCAATAGAAGGAATTGTTTCATTGATGCTATTTTCTACACCAGTGACTTCTGTAAAACATTCCTGTGTAATTATCCAGGAGATTGTGACAATAATGAATGTGTACGGTCGATCAGTTCGTAAAAATGTGTAGCTGAGACCGCTGTTTGGCTCCCATAACTCTCATTATTTAGCCACTGAGTACGTAGCACACGCTTTAGTCCTTTAAGGCTGGTGATATGCTTCGAGAATAAAAGCCTGCAAAGATCCTTAGTTATTGATAAGCCCACTAGAGGTTGGTAGTACTGCAATTTTGAAACTCATCAGCCCTATGTACTAATGGTAAATATTGTGGTCCGAAGACGTAAGGGAAATCGGGGCATTTGCAACCAGAAGTTAACAGCACCGTACTAGGTCCCTACATGGGCCAATAAACGGCATTATATAGCAGTTCTTAAAGATCTTGACGATTCGTTAACCAATCTATCTAGCCCGAGGCCACGAAAAAGAAAAAAATTATGCCTATGGAAGATACACTAGTACCGACTACTAGGAATGAAATGTTGGAAGCATAAGTTTGGTCAAACGATCATCAGAAAGGTGAAAGTTATGGAGAGCTCATCATCGAGTAGGTGGCATCGATGCTCCTGGAGAGATAAATGGATGAAGAGGTGGGTAGGAAAGTAGTAGGAAGGGAGAAGAAAGATTTGCACACCTCACCTCTAGGAGAGCATCGCCAACAAGGCATTGGCAGAGAGGACGGCCCTTACGATCAACAACTCGACAGGCATACTGCGCGGCACTGAGGCTAGTGAAATCGAAAACTGCCACATCGGGTTGTCCACGCGAGTTCAGTGCGAAGTCGAGGCGTCGCAGACCGCCTCGAGTTACGAAAGTCGCCACTTCCTGTGCCAATTGCTCCAGCGCAGAGAAGTTCACATTCTCTGCGCTCAAGAGCTTTGCCGAATCTTCCATGTCCTAACACCCGAGAGAGTCGAAAATACACTTTGGTGTTGAGCAACTGGGGGTTCAAAATCACTAAAGTACCATTTAGGCTCTCAATCAAAACCACTGGGAAGCAGCTATGTAGTAATTACATAAGCATCATTTATATAAAAACAATCCACACTTGCAACTTATAATTGCCTGTCACGTGGACTCCTGAAGAAGCAGACGTTAGCATAAGAGCCACATATTAACTGTTCATAAAAAATCATAGGATGAAAAGCCGCGGCCAAAAGCAATAGCACATTTTTACCCACGAGTGCCTCAAGTACTACTTTGACTATGAGCGTGCATTAAATGGAGTCATGTGAAAGGATTGCAATTTACGATGGTAAAACGATGCAAATAACTAGATTCAGCGGTAGAGATCTTGAACTTCTACCACGCCATCATTAATGATAATGAAACCTGTAGCTTAGATCTTGTGAACAATGAATGCGGTCGGAACCAAGATGGATCGTTGCAGCTTCCATAATCAGAGTTGAGAGAGATGGAGGAAGGAAGTAAAAGCAGTTCCTAAAGTCTTAAACTGCGCAGACCCATAAATAGTGCCGGGAAACGCCTCGGAAATACGCATCACGCAGCAGCTACTTTTAGCACTGGTGAGTCAACGTCAAGCAATAGTAGTTACCTAAATATGAGGTTTTCATGGACAATGAATGCTTCAAAATTGAAGCAACTATCTATGGTACACTGAACAAGATCAAGAAGGCCAACAAATACTTGCAAAACTGTTCTAGCTATGGTGCCTTGGCTGGACCTAGGAAGTCATCTACGAGAAAGAGGAAAAAAGTAAGACGAAGAGCAGAACTGGCATCAGGAAACGAAACTGTAATAAGTACAAAAAGACGTGCATCACAGAACTAAATAAATCGTTTCTTACTCTTAAAAGGTCCAATAACAACGTCTGCGTCCAAACACAGACTGCTATCCTGAAAGTTCATGCGCATATTAAGATGGTAAGCATTCTAGAAAGATAGCAGAAAGTTTCAGTGACCAGCTGATGGAATTATCAGTGCGGTATTCATTGGTTTGAGTCGAGAGGGGTTGCAAGGGGAAAACGCATACAATTCAAGTAAAAAGGGATCATTGGTAACAGCCAGGTAACATTGAGAACCTATTCGCTCCTCGTGCACATTCTAGGGCCTAATACCATTAATGTGCTTCTTGGTTTTCTGCCATGAAAACACTGAGTGCAGAATGAAGGTTCCCAAGCAAATAATAATGGCTTTTGGGAAGGTATTGACAAACTGGTGCCAGTTCATCTCAAATTCCCGAAGGTGAATGCTACTGCAGGAGCCATTGGATGTCTCAACATACGAAAAATTACTGTCGCAAGGCTCAAACAGAATGGGAACATTGGTGTCGATAGAATACACACGTTTTCTTACACAGACCAAAAAATCCGTATGCCGAAATTAAAGTGTGAGCAATTAAACCAGCATACGATGGCCTTTCAGGTAAAGGCTTCAAAATACCAAGGACAAATGCATTTTGATACGTAGCTTGTGTGGAAAGTACAATCAGACACATCCGTAGACAGTTCGCTACCGAATCAGTATCAGAGGGCACAGGACATGTATAAGTATGGCGGGAAAAAATGTACCTCAATCAAGACGCCTTTATTAAGAAGAGACCTTTTTTTAATCGTCATGACGATGTAGTGCGTCTCGTCTTTGTAGTAGACTAAATTCTCCAGCTCAATCCCCAGCGTCTTGGAGATCTGGGCAAAGTATGGCTGATTGAAAACACTGCCCACCCCGGATATCTCCTCTACATGGGCCTCTTCAACATAACCGTAGTTGATGAAGTTCATAGTAATTGCAATGGCCAGACGACAGCGGAGAGCTCGGCGCGGAAAGCCTATCAGATAGAAGAGACAACTCATCACCTTTTAGTTAATGTAAGCAAAATGAATCGCTATCAAGTATTCCAATCCATTAAGTACAAATTCAAATTGAAGGTCCATAAGAAGGGAAGTGTATTTTGCTAATAAAGCATCAGTTGGATCGATAATTTTGGTGGATTCGGTGTGATGGTTGTAGAATGTTAAGAGATTACCCATCTCAATTTGCATAGGAGGAACACAAACCAGACTTGTGCACAACTTGGTCTGGTCCTTAACAATTTCGCTGACATTCACCCAGCAAACAGGAAGACCTGAGTTAAAGTGGGACAAATATCAGGCAGCAAGTAGTTAAAGTAGCTGCCGTTAATTAAACATGAAGCTTTTTGTGGCTGAAAGCAGAAAGTTATCCTTGTAAGTCAAGCTAAAATACATAAAGTCAGCTCTTCTGCTTAGCCTCAATAGGGTCCGGAGTTGACGACTTACCTGCCAGGATTAGTGACAAATTTCGTTCGTTATGTTAGCCCAATTAGCGACGGTTGACTAAAATGAGGTCACATTTCGAGTAGAACAAAACGGATTTTGCCTCCTCTCCAGTGGGCAAGATACCAAGTAAAGGCGACGTCTGATAATAAGGATAGCTTGCGAGAAAGAATGAAGGAAATTGGACATTTCATATGTACACAAATAACACCTTAAGCACGACGCCTCGACGTGTTCAAATCCATGAGCCGGATGCTGATGACTCAGCTAGGGGTACCCTCCCACGCATACACACAAACAGTGCCTCCATAGGCATCGTACATTCGACAGTGGTACACACTTACGAATTAGACTAACGACGGCTTCCTCCAACCGCTACTGGGCCGCATAGAATTGACACGCAACTCCACCGTAAAGCAGCATTTTAACTCCTAGTGCCGATGCCTTTTGCAGCCGCAAAACTTGCCCACACTGGCCCAATAAATTACTCTATTCCACTGACCAGAAATAGTTGTAGCAACAGTATTTGGAAAGAACAAGGAAATGGAGCAAGTCAACTAGGATCTTGGTCCAAAAGACAATTCGCAGCCATTTAATATGTCATTAATGAATAAGTATGACTAATTACATGCATTCACCCATTCGAACACGATCCAAAATATGTACAACTAAATTTCAGGGCAAAATAGAATGACACACATGATACGGAACTGAGTTTTCCTCTACTTTGTGACAAGCACATGTTTCGGTTGCTCTTTCAAGCAAATCCATAATAAATGGCCAATCACTAAATGTACTGAGTGCCATCTCATGTTTAGTCTACCGCGACATCAGGATTACCACACCACATAAGGTAGTTGCTGCAGCACTAGCAGCCTTCGACGTCATCCCAGCACGGCCATTCCCGGTCACTGACCTTGCATATCTGCCTTTGTTTGCTCACACCAATAGCAATTTTATAAAAACTATCCCTCTGCAATGTTCCGATTGCGGAAGAGGCCAACGTGTGAAC